CCCAGGATGCACGTGGGTCTCAAAACCCTTGGTGAAAAACTTGTCAAGGAACACTTGGGCCAAATCGGCCACAAACTTTTCCCCAATCTGAGACGGGGGGGATTCAGTCAAAGTCCAACGTCGTCCAGACCGATCCAGGAACACAGCGGGACCCTCCCAGGTCCATCCTCCAGCTTCGAGCCAGAGGAGCATGGCCGATATCGGCCCACGGGTCCGAAAAAGCCAGGGTTTTCCCCGAGTCCCTTGGAAGACTTCGACACTCGAGTGAAACACTTTGCTTAAAACACCTGGAGTTAGCGCATCCTGATGCCTAGGGCTACCATGCCTACTCACTTCAGAACTGTGCCACCATTCCCAGCAGTATCTACGTACGCAACCACCTGCCAGCACGATGGGGTCGCCTTTGCCCTCAATGGCCCACAAGAGGTCCAAATTGCAACCTTTCTTACTGATCCCACAGACTCGCCCAGCAGACCTTCGAATAGATAGAAGCTCCTTAGGAGACACACCCTGGATGTCGAGCCCATAGGATACCGTTGGGAGGATCCCACCCTTGAAGAGCCTTTTCTTGAGCTTCGTGGAGACCTTGAGGCCCGAGAGCTTAGCGATCCGAAACTTGAATTTCTTGGTCCTCTTCTTCATGACAAGGCGGGCGAACGGCCGCAGCTGGTGCTTCCCACCTGCGAAATCCACTCCGAGGTTGGCTGGTGCAACAGTGCCCTGTCCTGCGAGTGTCCCTAGCTTCCTTTTGATCATGGTCAAGAGGGTCAAGCTGTTAGCAGTGGCAAACATCTTCTTCTCTGCTAGGGGCACCCGCAGACTCTGCGAAATGGTCCAGGCCAAGCTGGTCGCAAGGTCACGTAATTGCTGAACGCAATCTTCTACATTTTGATGCCATGCATGCACAGAGAGATCATCGACATGTAAGCTCATACCTGTACTATCGTGCCCCTTGTGTCCAACAATGGTGGGGAGGAGGAACGACTTGGCTTCGTAGGTGGCTGACGTGGACCCCGCTACGATCCCCCGCCGAGGGAACAGGGGTTCACCATATCCCCCGTCAAGGAGGAGAATTCTCTTCCACCGATACGTCGATATAGTATATAAAAGTATGTACAACGGGAACTCGGACAAGATACTTTGCTGGAGGAGCTCTTCATGACATATGTGCTCATAGAACTGCAGCAAATCCCACATGAGGGCCCCATAGTGGATCTTCTGTCCCGCATGTAACTCTGCCGTCACAGACTGACGCCACACCGTATCAAGGGCACTGCGGCCCTGTCCCATGGAAAACCCAGGGCCCAACCCGACTTTTGATTCCCAGGATCTACATGGGTTCCTGTGAGTCTTGCCGTGGAGCCTCGCAAACCCACAGTAGTGCCCAATAGGTCGGCGCCCTTTCACTGGTTTACTCATAAGGAAATACAATGAGTTGCTGAATCCTGGAAGGTCCCTGTCCCAGAACATCGATCAGGTGATACAGCCACGACAGGGCGAGCAGCGCACCATCAGATAACAATGAGTAATGTCTTGGATGAAACCCATCTGGGGTACATGTCTGTCTCTTGAAACGGGTACTGATATGCCGCAAAGCTTCAGGAGCTACTCGCTCCGTCACTGGAATCCTCCTCTCTGGAAGGTCGAAGGAAGGTAGCTCAACTCGAACGTCACTTGCATTCCACGCCGCCTTCCACACTTTGGTTTCAGCAGCCAGTCGAGCAGGTAGGGAACTAGAATACATTCCATTGTCCGAGACAACTTCTTCAGACACTGGTTCTCCACTGCGCAGGAAAGCGAACGCCTGCTTCATATGTCCACCTACTGCTTCGGCACACCATTCTTTCCACGATTCCCTGGCCCTGGATCTGTCTTCAACGAGACCGACACGAGCCCACAGGCCGACGAAATCCAGGAACGAGTCGATACGATCGATGATAGTATTCAAGAGTGGTGTGCCAATTAGCTCTCGAGCAAATACCGCCAGTACTGGATGCCAGAACTCGCCCCCAGCTTTCCAGTGCCTCCTGAAAGGACCCCCTCGAACTGGAAGCCGTTGCCATTGACGCAGGAGTCCCAAGAGATAGCCTTCCCTACCGCCTCGAAGAAAAAGAGATCTCAATTCTTGGAGCCTGTGGAGGACCCATTCCAAAGCTCGTCCAGGAAAGGCGTTCTCGTACTGTTTGGTAACCAGGAGCGACCTGAGAGGCTTATCCTTGAACTGCAAGTCAGATCCCCCAGGGAGCCCAGGCGAGTCCCTTGCTTGACACACATCCAGGATTTCACCCCAGGCCTGAGAGACCCAAAGATCATACACACGATCCAGTAGAAGAGCACCCTGGGATTTATCAGCCCCTGTGGCCATGTAAGAAATCCCATCAGCATCTTGCAAAGGAAGGAGGAACCTTTCAATGTCATGTACAATCAGATCATAGCTGGGGGGAGCAGGAGCAGGACCCACTGCAGCAACAGGTGGTACATGTTGAAACTTGACAGGGACTTTGACATAGATATCCTTCAAAGCCCTCTTCACAGAAAAATAGACTGGCCGATGAGGACTGTACGAGCCATCGATATCTGTGAATACCTGTCCTGCTGCAAAATCTAGATGCTTGCTGACGATGAAGTAGTCAATGACTGAAAGTGCTTCAGGGACCACAAACGTAGGTGCCAGTGGAGCCCTGACAACTCCTGCAATCTGCACAAGTGGGGCATTGCTAGCCATCTCACTGGGTCCCATGTTAAAATCTCCGCCAATGCAGAACGGGAGTCCATGGTCGAAAATGTCCTTCCACACTGTCTTCAAAATGCTCACATTCAACCCTTTGTATCCGATAGAACCCTTAAGATAGACAGAGTAGAGCGCCACAATGCCAAATTCTGAAGAGCGGAAAAAAATCCTCACAACTCGCCCATCGTAGAGAGATAGAGGGGAGGGCGGCGGAACCCAAGAGTCAAGATGCTTCCTGACCAGGATCATCGTGCCGCAGCTGGGTCTCCCTGTCTCCGTACTGATGATACACTCTCCAGCATAGACTCGCCAACCTTGCTTTTGAAGCCGTGAGCGGGTCCGTGAAAGCCTCGCACCTGCCAGTTTGTGTTCCTGAAAAAGGAGAACATCACCATTCGTGGTCCTGACAAGCTCCGAGAAACCACCACCTTTGACATTGGAAGAACCGTCATCTGCAGCTTCGCCGTGCCAACTGTTCCCATTGAACGTGATGATGCTGAGGGGGTGTAGCTCTGAACCAGTTTTCCTTTGGGCAATTCGTTCGGGCTGCCCACAACCGACTGACCCACGACTGAAGGTACCTGACACCGAGGTTGATGTGGGCTGCGTGGCAAATGCTCCTTGGCCTCCCGACTGTCCCGACTCGGCCTGGTTACTGCCACATGGGCCCTGGCCTTGTCGGTCCAGGGGCTCAGTAGGAGCGATGCCACGCAGCCCTGAAGAGCTGCACGTAGACAATGTGGCCATCGCCGATGAAATAGCATTGCCATAGTACACATGATATGAAGAGGCCGATCTTGATGCCGTACTCCTCTGAAACCCCGCCTCATGGACTCCACCACCGATGCCAGTCATCCCGAACACCGATCCAGAGTTTCCGAGAACGAGGCCCTCGAGGTCGCAACTGCTAAAGGTCATGCTCAGAACCACCCCCACACCCATCGAACTCCCAGTCGGACCGCGTGCCTGAGCCCATGACGGACGGGGGCGGCTGCTGGAAGGGTGTGGAGGGCCCGCGGGTGCAATCCCCGCCTGTGGGTCGGCCTCCAGCACCTGGGGACCGAAACCTCGGTTTCTTACTCGCTGACCGAATGGCCTCCAAGATTTCCCTTTTCTGAGAATCTGAAACACCATTAACCTGCACAGCTTCCATGACATCGGCCTCGTCGACCTCCATGACCGAGCACTCAACTGCGCCCGAAGAGGCCACTTCAGGCTCTGGTGCAGGCATGGCTTCACGAAGACCATCCAAGAACTCCTTATACCGTGCCTGAAGATTAGCACGTACACCTTCGTGTTTGACACCTGACAAAGTCCCTTCGAACATACTGAGATGCGAAATGAAACTCGCCATAGAGGGTGCCGAAGCCGAAGACTCTGCCGAAGAAGCTTGAACAGCAGCAGCCCTCCGCTTGGCCTCCTCGATCTTCTCCTTCTCATTCTGGATGCAGACCTGAAGCTCAGCCTTCTTGTCTTGAAACTTACGAATCGCTTCATCAACAGAGCCCTCTTCCTCCAAGAGCTTCTCCAAGCGCTTCTCGCTCCTGGTCTGCTCCTGCTCCATCTTTCTGAGGCGCTGGGACGGGGGTACACTGGCCAACTTCTGATCTTGAGCCACCTTCCATGCTTGAGAGATGGCGTCGACAGAAGCGTCAGGCAAGATCCCTCGAAGCTTACCTCCTGCAGCCAACTGGGAGAGGCGGTGGAGCTCTTCACGAATATTCGGCTCCCTTCCTCCTCCCGTGGGTTCATCACCGCGCTGTCCACCCTTACCACCCTGGTGCTTGCCCTTGCCCCCGCCCTTGCCGTTGCGGCCACCCCCAGGAGTCCCAGCGAAACCAGGAGCACGAACCCAAGGGTTATACTCCCAGACAGGTGGAGGCGGAGGAACAGGCGCGAGGTGCGGGATGGATCCCTTGCAGTGGTAGCAGAACTTGAAGTGGCTCGGGTTTTTCTTGCATCCGCAGTGCGGGCAAGCAAGGCCGACTGGCCCCATACCCTTACCATTGGATTTAGTCATGCCTCGGCACAACTGGACGTGGAAAGAATTGCTCCACCAGGAGCTCACAAAGCCGAAAGAAGGATACCACCACAGGCGCCTGTCTGAGCTGCACCCGTGATGGCCAGAAGAAGCTGTCCTGGCCAGCTGCCTTGATAAATGGCAACTTGAGCCAAAATGGCTACGGCCTCCTCCTCCTCCTCCGTCCTCCTCCTCCTCCTCCTCCTTCTCCTCCTCCGCCTCCTCAATGTTGAGTCAGCCGAGGCCGACGGCGGAAACTCGGATCGCGCGGCGCCCCGCCCGAGCACTGAAGCCGAGGGGCGTGGGAAGGCGCATCGCGCGCGAGAGTTGCACTGCTTCTCCGAGGCAAGGGTGGGACCGGGATCGGCCTCGCCAGGGTCGGTGCACAGCCGGGGCGCCCCCCGAGAGGGGGAGCAAAGAACGAGGTCTACCTGCCCTGCCCGCCCGGCGGGAGGGAGAGCGGCAGGGAGGGGGGGGGGGGGGGGCGACGGGGCAGAGGGAAGCGAGGGAGGTCAGGTGTGCTCGCGGCACATCTTCGGGGGCGTCCAACAGGGGGACGTCCAAGAGGGGGGGCGGGAATCATGGCCGGCAGCAAGTGCGCGGCCCAGAGGGGGGAGGCATTGAAATAACAAAAGAGGCGCCATGACATCTGGGGAGATATCATGGCCCCCGACCTGATATCCACCCACCCCAGGTCATCACCCCCCTTATTGCCGCCCCCGATATCTGATGTCCTGCCCCTCCTACCCAGCCTTTCCGATTGTTAGGAGGTTGATGAGGGAGGTCTTCATCGAAACGATTAAGGGCTAAGAGGCCCGATTGAGGGGCTATTACGCCCCCTTAAGCACGAGTAAGCTCGATCCGGGGCTGTCATGCCCGGGATTAAGCTGGAAGAGTCAGGATAAGCCAGATCAAGCAGGACTGGGCCAGATCAGGCCAGCTTTCGACCAGGGGTACACCAGCTCCCATTATGAGTTCAACCTCCCAGGAGCTCCATCCTGACCATTGCGCGGTTTTACTCGATGACGCACGTGGAACCCCCAGAACGACCCCATGGCGCAATGCGAAATCACGAGGAGGAGGAGGAGGAGGAGGATGAGGAGGAAGAGGAGGAGAAGGCGGATGAGCAGGAGGACGAGGAGTATAAGATCGAGGATGACGGGGAGGAACAGCACCACCAAGCAGGGCTGGACCTGAACGTCGTCTTTCGTGTTGGCTTCGTTTTGTTGTTCGTTTTGATCTACCTGAATTTCTGTACCTCCCTCTCAAAACGAAAAGCAAAACACAGCCCGAAGTCCAGCAAAGCAGCGTTCAGGTCCAGACCTGCCACAAAGCACTGCCACATGAGCCCAAAAGAAGGCACCAAACTCCTCTTCATCCAGACAAGCCTTGGCTGTGCATCAGACCCGGCCTATTCCAAAGGAGCCTGGGATGGGGATGCTCATCAGAGGACATTCCCGAGGAACGGTTGGGAAAGACGCGAGGAAATCCGAGCCCCCTCCGATCAAGAAGTGAGCGCACACGTGAGAGGAAGGGGGAAGGAGATGGAGTTCTGTGGCAACCCGTGGAAGCTTCCCATGCCATCTTGCTGGCTCTTGCGAAGCGAATCGAAGCTAATCGACGATCATCGATGCGAATCGACGTTGAATCGACGCTGGTCAATGCTAGTCGACGCTAGATCGGCGCGTCTCATCGATTACCAAACGCGAGCGCACGCGAATGAACTGTAAGGACGGAATTGCGAGGGCATACACAGCTCCCATGATTTGCTACCGAAGGATAGGGGAGAGAGCGGGAGAAGGGAGCTGGAGGAGCGGGGCAGGTGGACCACGTGTTGCTCCCCGGCCAAGCCCAGGGACCCCACGCCTGCATACGCGCGCCTACTCGAGCGCGGCCCGCAGGTCGGACGAAGAGTGAGAGGAGCACGCCCCTCCCCCCTCCCGTCCCTTTCCCCGCCATCCTTCCTTCGTCATCGTCCTCATTCCTGCGGGCAGTACTTATATCCATATCCAGAGCGTCGTGGACTTTTTGGGAAGAGGTGCCGCAACGCCGAGGCGCACTGGATATGGATAAAATCAGGCCTCTTGGGGCCAGATGTTTATCCATATCCAGTGCGCCTACGGTTTCTGGGGAAGAGAGCCCAAGAATCCAAGACGCACTGGATGTGGACATAACTATTGCCCGCAATTCCTGTCATGAGCTGATTCATGCTCCGACGTGCGGCTGGAGTGGACTGGAAAACCATCGGGAATCAAGCACCGGCAGTCACAGACGGGAAGACGTGACACGCTGCGCCTGCTCGACAAAGCAGGAGGACGAGGAGCAGCAGCTCCTCCTCCTCCTCCTCCTCCTCCTCCTCCTCCTCCTCCTCCTCCTCCTCCTCCTCCTCCTCCTTCTCCTCTTCTCATCATCTACTAGTAGCAAAAACTTGTCCCTCCACTCCATCGTCCTCCTTCCAAAAGGGAAAATCGCCGAGGAGAGGATGCGGATACCTGGTCCGCGCGACAGCGCGATAGTCTAGAGCCGCGTGCTCACCCTGAGCGCGCGTGAGGCTGGGAATCAGCCAGACGACTAGTCATACCGTGCCGCCGATACAAAAGTGCAGCCGTCAGGAGGTCCAAATTGGTTTGCTTTCGCTTAGCTGACAAATACCGCTGCATGTCGTCGGAAGAACCGTCCCATGGTAATGAGATAGGGGTCTGGACGGAGCATGTTTGCTATAATCTCTACGCATACCTCGCACTCCATATTCGCTTATTCTCAACCTCATGGTGACCCTTCTAGCTAAAGAGAGAAATCACCGACTGACAATCGCTGTCTCTCACACTCTGGCTGGAAGATCGTACAACACAGCCGTGATACGTACGATAACTCCGATACATCGTCGCTGTGCAAGGAGGCACTGTATGTGTATATCTCTGTGCTACCCGATATTGATAAATTGTCAAATGTGCGTGGCTACTCCGTCATTTCATCATGCCCCGCTTCCTCGTCCGAAATCTCTCAGTGCGACTGCTACTTCGGCCTACCAACCAATAATCTGCCAAGCATAGAAGAAGTGAAGAAACGCGCTCCTCGTCGCCCCAGCCGTTCCGCCAGCTAACAAATTCAGATAGAGCGTCGATGACATCATCTCTGGCCTGGCGGAGCTCCCTCTTCAAATCAGGAGGGACATGCCATGTAAAGTCCGTGCCGTCGATGGTGCCCACAAGAGCCTTTGCTATGCTCGAAATAGCCTCCACGGATGACGTTGCGATGAGTGGCTCGAGCTCGTACAATGCCTCGGATGTCCCTACCAGGACCATACGGATCGCAACATCGGCAGCGTGGTAGAGCACATGCGCCTGCACGATTCACGGATCCAAGCGTTATGAACCCAACGCGACCCCAAAATGATTAGATCGAAGCAGATTCAAATACAGGGGTGAACGGGCGAATGGGACTAGTCAGCGATGACAAACAAACTTGACCTGCGCAATGGCTCGCCTTACTTTGCGCAGCGCTGTCTATCTTCAATGTATCATTCGTTGACTTGCGTTGGGTGTTGCACTGCTTTGCTCTGCCCTGTTCTGCTGCGCACAACTGTTCGCGGTCGAACCTTCTTACGGTGCGATGCCTTACGCTTTTTGACGTTGATGATGGTGTTGTTGTGGCCGTTACCGCTGCTGCCGTTTAGCCGGTACATCTGCTGTAGCCGTTAACACATTGTTTGTGCATTGTGTTGCCCAACTGTTCGCTCCTTATGTTTTGCTGTGTCGTGGACATCAATGTGCATCGCGGTCATGAGCTTCATTTGCTTTGGTCAACCGGGCGGCTCGTACATCTCTGCCACACGTCCCCCAGACGTTCCGTTCACTGCGGTTCATGCGTCGCGCTGCTTCGATTGGCGTTGCTCTGCCTTGCGCGATGTTGTACACTTCTCTGCCCCACACACACAATCCGACGTCGTGGAAGAGCAACGGCGTGCAAAAACACAACCAGGGCTCCAGACCCGATGGTTCTGCAGCACCCCTCGAGCCAGATCGGCCCTTGAGAGCCCCTTGCGGCCCAGACGAGGTGCGAATGCCTGCCGTGTGTTCGCTCGCGACGCCCAGGTGTCAGGGTCCGCTCTGCTCAGCTCTTTAGTGACTTCTGGGTGGTTCCACGGATCGGGTAGTCTCTGCGGGTATCTAGGGGACGGAAGAGGAAGCGGCGGCGGCGGGAAAGGGAGGCTGCGGGGAAGGAAATAGTGTACGCACCGCTACTTCGCATTTTATGACTTACTCCGTCCGACCAGCACCAGTCCTGAGGCATCGCGATGGACATAGGCGCCGAGGCCGGGGCAATGCATGAAAGAGATTCACGATTTCTGACACGCCCTCAATGAGGACGGAAAGACCGGGCGCGATACCCAACAGCACATGCTGTCCGAAGCCGACAGCGGCCGCTGTTGGGCAGGCAACGTTCGTCCAGAGTGGACAACGTCCGCGGCGACACCGACAGCGAATCCTACTCAAAATGTATCAGTGCCCGCTGTCCACATTCGTCCCTGTTCCTTCCGTCTCCGCTTCGGTCCTCCCGATCCAAGGCCTTGGCCGACATCGCTTGGCCCCGATTTCGAGGCGAAGCCAGCCGTGGCCACGAGAGCCTCCTCAAGAGACCCCAAAGAGGCGAAGACGCTGAGGATAAAACACAACAAAAAAAGAGGCGTCAACAGAAACTTTTACAGCTCCGCACGGATTTCTTGGATCAGCGCTGGATCCCCCCCCCGCCTGGCGCGCGGAGCGCGCCAGGGGCGGCGCCGGAGGCGCCGGCGAAGGAGCCCAGCGCCGATCCAACAAATCCGCGCGGAGTGCCAAACGTTAATGTTTATGTCGTTTTTCGTCCTCGAGACAAAATATATGTGCCGACATCCGCTTCTCCACCCGATCTAAGGCCGTGACCTGATGCTGGCTTGCCGTGCTGATCCAGGCGAGACTGTCCTCCTGCTGCACCTCGTGTTAGGTCGGGCGTGTCCCCCCACTGGCGGCTGGTGGGAGAGAGGTAAACAGAGCCAGAACCGACTCAAAAATAGCCAAAAACAGTCAAAACACATCGCCCCCAGATTCGGGGATGGACAGACCTCCCTTTAGTAAAGCGTGGTTTAGTGAAAACGACCTGAGGCCCAAACCTGGCGGGCGCAAGCCTGGAAAACAGCGGCCACGGCGCCCTCTCGAGAACCGAAAACGGACAATTCACTAATCGACGTGTCACTGTTGGGGGTTCTGTGCACCCCTGACAAAAATAGTCAAAACACATCGCCCCCAGAACATGTGTCCCTTATCTTCGAACGTTCCTCCTGCAGGAGGACATGCCCGACTTACACCTCGTGGCCTCGGGCACCGTGTGCCCCCACGGCCACGGAACTGCACGGGTTCCCCCGGGGCCGTGGGCGACCCGAGGAGGAGGGAGGAGGAGGAGGAGGAGGAGGAGGAGGAGGAGGAGGAGGAGGAGGAGGAGAGATGGAGGATAGAGGAGGGGAGATGAGGAGGAGGAGGAGGAATGGAGAATGGAGGAGGAGGAGATAGGGAGGAGGAAGGACGTGAGAGGAGGAGGAGGAGGAGGAGGAGCGGGAGGATGGAGGATGGAGGAGGAGGGGAGGAGGAGGAGTAGGAGGTGGGCGGAGGAGGAGGGAGGAGGGAGGGAGGAGGAGGAGGTGGGCGGAGGAGTGAGGAGGGTCGCCTAAGCCCTTCGGAGAAGCCCTGCGCTCAAACCCCGCGACGTCGGGCACCGTGTGCCCCCGCGGCCACGGAGCCCCGCGGCCTGCGCTCCCCGGCCGCTCCCCCCTCCTCCGGTGGCTGCAGCGGGGCGGCCCTCGCTGCGCGCAGGGCCGCCCCCCTGCGCGGAGGCCGCCCTCCCCTGGGAGCACGCGTCCGTCAAGGGGCCCAAGGATGCACAAAGAAATATACACACAAATCCCAGGAGTCCCCCATACTTTTCCATATATCTTCTGGGCTTTTGCCGTCTTCCCCCCCACTTCCCAATGCTTTCCCACATCTTACTGGGAGTCGACGATCAATTGTGTCTGTGTGTTTTTTCCCCTCCTGAGTCTGTGGGATGCAGACCGCGAGGGCACGGACTGTGGAAGGCCGCGGGACTTCCGAGCCTTCTGGGAAGGCCCGCCCCTTCTCACTTCCCCCCCGAGCTCGCCGGATCAAGATGGCCAGGATCGGGTGCTGAGCCACGGCGCTCGATGAGGGCCCAGCGCTTTCTCGCATCCTTCATAAAGTAGCCTAAATGCCGGAGGCGACGGTAGGGGCGAGTAGCCCGAGGGGTGCAATACAGTGGGGGCCAGTCCACAAGAAACCTTCCACGAGAAGCCCAACCCTGAGACCCCAGGACGTCCACCGACTTTTTGTTTGGCGTGGGAACGTCGCGCCTGCCACGGCAGAAGCATCGAAGCCCGAGAAAACCCAGGGCACCCTGGAGGCAAGCAGGGTGTTTCTTGGCATGGGTCTCCACTGCAGGGCGACTCTGCGCGCGGAGGCCCTGCGCGGGCCGCACCCCTGGGATCGCGCATCCGTGGAGTCCTGACCGCGAGGGCACGGACTGTGGAACACGGTTACTGTATGCTGTTCTTCTCGTACGGTCCCAGACACAATGTCGAGCACCCAGAATCAGTATCGAAGCAGCGTCGAACGAGCATCGCCTCCCTGGGGGCCCGACGCGTGAAAACCCCCCCGATTCGGAATTTTCTTGGTGCTCGACTTGCTTTCTGGTGATCAAGGCTGAAGCAGGTTGGAGCACCAGAAGAATACGTCAGGCCCCTGTCGTGGCGACCCCGGCGCTGGCTCCTGACACCGCGTGGATCGTTCCACCTCGACCGTTCGGCGATCGGCGGCGTTTCCGCTCTCGAAATCGCCCCACAGTGGCCGATCCTGGGCCGCGGGTGGCCTCTTCAACGCCCGCAGCGGGGTCGCTGCAGAGGCGGCACAGCACGAACCTGCCGTACGGCTGTCGCCCGTGAGCACCTCCAGCTGCGATCGAACGCTCAGCAGCCCCGCCGGGCGGGCGGCGCGCTGCGCGGGCGGGAGCTCGCCGGGGCGGCGGAACTGCAGGTCCCTGTCGACGACCTGCGGCGGCGCGCGCAGAGCCCGCCATTTTCTGGTCAGCGGCGGAGGAGGGCGCACACCGCACTCTGGTAGCCGGGGGGCGGCGCCATGACTGCAGTGGGGGCCCGACCACAAGAAACCTTCCACGCGAAACTTAACCCTGAGAACCCAGGGCGTCCCTTGATTTTTCGTGTGGGACGCCACGATTTCCACCGCAGAACCGTCGAAGCCCGAGAAACCCAGGGCACCCTGGAGGCAAGCAGGGTGCTTCTTGGCATGGGCCTCCGTTGTACTGACACACACGGCAACCTGATGGAAGAAGAGAGCGGCCGCGGAGGAGGACAGCGGGAGGAGGCCTCAGGTCGGGCCAGGCGAAAGGAGGGGATAGCGAAGGGGGGGTCTGAGAATCAGTTTACGTAGCTGATTTTCCCAGCGCCTCCCGGCGCGGAGGCGCCCATGTATCGAGGAATGGGCCTGGCGGCGGGGCCGAAACCAGCTGCATGCAGCAGATTTCGTAACCCCCCCTTTCCCTAGTTATCCCCCCCTTTCGTTCGGCCCGAGTGTACCCCAACAGTTGTGCGGAAGAGCAGGAGAGTGGACCCCGGGCAAGAGGCGCCTTTGGTGTGTGGGGCTCCGGGGGCCCACCCGCGCAAGCCCAGGCGGGCACAACCGAGCTTGGAGAGTGGACCCCGGGCAAGAGGCGCCTTTGGTGTGGGGGGCTCCCGGGGCCCACACGCGCAAGCCCAGGCGGGCACACCCGAGCTTCAGGTCGGGCAGGTCCCCCTTCAGGCGGATTTTGGACGAAAAATCAAGAATACCCCAAAAAATACTTCAGCATAAAAATCATCCCCTGACTATTTTTGCACCATTTTTGAATATTCCTCCTGTAGAGGGGCACGCCCGACTCAACCCGAGCTGGGGGGGGGGCCCGTGGGCCACTACCGAAGGCCACTCCGGCGAGAGGCCAGCCTCACGCGCAGCCGCAGGGGGGGGGGGGGGCGGGAGGGCGAGGCGGCGCGGCCTTCCAGGAGGGCGGGGAGCTGACGGATCCTGGCGGGCTGGCCTGGAGCTCTTCCTGGCCGGGCGTGGCGCACCGAGGGGGGGCCGCCCTCCGAGAGGGCAACGAGACCTCCACGAGGGCCCGGAGGCCGCCGAAGAGGCCTCCTCGAACGGCGGGGAGAGCCCTCGACCTGCGAGGGTCCCGGGGCCCGAAATCCCGCGCGCACGCCCGTGGCGGAAAAAAAGAAAATCGCGACGCCGGGATCTCTCTTTCAGAGTCTGCGCGCCGCCGAGGCCTCCTGGAGCGAGACGAGGTGGGGCGCCGCCACCGCCATGTCCAGCGCCTCCCGCCGCAGCTGCAGCGAGGGCCGCGGGCCGCCGGCGAGCGAGAGCAGCAGCACGGGGCTCCGCTCGCCCGGCGGCGCCGGCCCGGGGGCGGCGACCTCCAGGGCCCCGATCTCCAGGCCCGCGGCGGCGATGAAGACCACCTCTAGAGGAAAAAGAACTATGCACATACACTAATTCTGGCCAGGCCCATCCTGAGCCCAGGATCGGTGCATACGCCCTCCTACCTTGGCCAGGAAGGCATATGCACCGATCCTGGGTCAAGGATGGGCCTTGCCAGGATCGGTGCATGTGCATAGTTCTCTTCGCCCGACACCTCGTCCACCAGGTCGAGGGTGGAAGAGGGAAGGACGGCGTGCAGGCATAACCGTTCGGAGGTCCGCGCGGGTTTCTCGGATCTGCGCCGGGTCCCCCCTGCCCCCGGCGCGCGGAGCGCGCCGAGGGGGGCCCGAGCGCCGCTCCGAGAAAGCGGAGGTCTTCTGATTCGGCGTTTCGACGTTGAGCGAAAGTTGTGGGGGAGGGGGGGGGTTCTGGCTCCGGACCTCTGCATAGTGTAACTGTTCGCAACAGTGCGTCCTGTGGGGGAGACTCCACATGCTCGAAACAGGCGCCAGAAACAGGCAAAATCTACTCCATAGGGGGGGAAGGGGGGGTGCGAGGGCCCGCGCCGATCGGCAAAACAATGAATCGGAAAACGATCACAAATCCGCGCTGAAGCTCCGAGTGCTTATGTATATGTCCATCTTTCTTCTTCGAGAGTGGCCCGCTGCCGACGTCGACCCAGCCAGCGCCCCCGAGCCTCGACGAGTCCTGAGGGGAAATGTTAAGGGGGGGGGCCAGCTCTTGAACGTTAGGGGGAACCTTAGGGGGAACGTCCAGGGGGGAACGCAAGGGGGAAGCGTCAGGGGGAACGTCAGCGGGGAACGTCAGGGGGGGACGTTAGGGGGAACGTTCGGGGAGAACACGGAGCTGGAATCGGCGACGCATCGCCGACAGATCGGCGAGAGGCCCCCGATCGCGAATCCGCGGGCTCCTGGGCGGGGGTGGGCCATCGGGCTCCTGTCGGCGATGAACTGGCGATCGGGGGTCGATGCCTCTCCCCCTGGGCCTACACCCCCTTCGGGGCCCCCAAACCGCGTAGCGGACCGCGCGGTGACCTCGGCATGCCCAACGACCTCGCCGCGGGCCCCGTCACCACGCGCTCCTGGGACCCCGGAGGCCCAGGTCGCCCGAGACGTCCTGGGAGAACGGCCCGAGCCGCCCCCAACAGAACACCGCGCGGTGACACCGAATCCCCGCCGACTGGCCACGCCAGGCGGCGACAGCCGAGCCCTGCAGTCAACCCAGAACAGAAGGACGCACGATAGAAGGACGCAAGGGCCTGTCAAGGCCACGCCGACACTTCGCGGGCGGGGCGCGGCCAGCGAAGGTGGCCAAGGCCAAGGATGGGCCAGAGGGGAAGGATGCCAGGGTAGCCTTGGAGAGTCGCTGATCCTTTCTGTGCGGGTAGACTGCGGGGCTCGGACTTCGCCACGTGCTCGACGGGTCCCGAAGCCTACACCCGCCGCCCATCGAGTTGCCTGAATCGTTGATCGGCGAGGGTAGGGTTCCCTCCTCCTCCTCCTCCTCCTCCCTCCTCCTCCTCCTCTCCTCCTCCTCCTGCCCTCCTCCTCCTCCTCCTCCTCCTCCTCCTCCTCCTCCTCCTCCTCCTCCTCCTCCTCCTCCTCCTCCTCCTCCTCCTCCTCCTCCTCCTCCTCCTCCCGCCGAGCTGACTCACCACGCGGTGGGGTCACCACACCGTCCGGGCGGCCCCCGGCGCCTGGTGTTTTTCGGGTCACAGCTCGGACCCATGGCGGCTTGGGGACGACCAGGGCACCACAGAACTCTCGGCGAGGCGCATCTGCTGGGAAGCATGCCGAGGCCGGAAAACCGCCAAGCGCCGACGAAAACTGAGGGGCAACGAAAGCTGCACAGGGGAGAAACATCGGCCTGGAATCGCCGATACATCGCCGATAGATCGGCGAAATCCGCACGTTCCTGGGCAGGTTGGGGCTATCAGGCCCATATCGGCGATCAATGGACGATTGTGGGTCGAAGCATCCCCCCTGTGCCTATCCCTCATATCATTGCCCCTGAAAAGCATCCAAAAACTTCAAATCTCGAACCCTGCAAAAGCCCAAACCCACACCGGTTGGGGCCTCGCCGAACCCCCCCGACGTTAGAGGAACAAAAAACGGCATAACATATACTGTTCGAGCTCCGCGCGGATTTCTTGGATCCGCACTGAGGAACAAAGAACTGCGTAAACATATACTGTTCGAGCTCCGCGCGGATTTCTTGGATCCACGCTGACCCCCCTTACCCTGGCGCACGGAGCGCGCCAGGAGTGGCGCTGGAGGCGCTGCCAGGAAGGCACAGCACAGATCCAAGAAGAAATCCGCGCGGTGCTCCCAGTTTATGTTTGTGTAGCTTTTGCTTCTCGAGACGTTGCCCCCGCGAGGGGGGGAAGTGAGAAGGAGCAGGCCTTCTCAGAAGGCGGCGGGGCTTCTTGGAAGCCATCTGGCCTCCTGGGAAGCTGTCTGTGTCTTCGGGGAAGGGGAACTTCTCAGAAGGCCGGGGGACTTCTGAGCCTTCTGAGATGGCCTTCTCCTTCTCACTTCCCCCCCTCGCTCGCCGCCGAGATGCCATCTCCAGACCCGTCGGCTCCCAGAGACTCCCGGCGTGCCCACGTCCGGATCTGTCCTCCTCCTGCGGTCGCCTTAAGAGGAGGAGGAGGAGGAGGAGGAGGAGGAGGAGGAGGAGAAAGGGAAGGAGGAGGAGGAGGAGGAGGAGAAAGGGAAGGAGGAGCAGGAGGAGGAAGAGGAGGAGGGGGGGGAGGAGGAAGGGGAGGAGGAAGGGGAGGAGGAGGAGGAGGAGGAAGAGGAGGAGGCCGTTCTCCGGCGCGGGTGCCAGAAAGAGCCCCCCCCCCTTCGACCGCCGCCGACGGTCCAGGTGGGTGGTCCACACGCCCTGAAGCCCGAGGCGGCTGCCGACCAGCGCCGCGGGGGCCCCCGCGGCCGGGCGCCAGCGCGCCCACAGCGAGCGGACGACCACGGGCCTGGAGAAGCGCAGGTAGCCGACGCTGCCTCGGCGACGCATGGGAACAAAAAAAGCGGCCCAGGGAGGCACGAGCAAAGAGGCACAAATCCCAAGAGGCTCCCAAGAGGCTTCAGGGCTGCTCCCCAGCAGCGCTCCGAAGCTCTCCGAAGAGGCTCAAAAGCCCGAGGGCCACGAGATTCTCTGTTCTGGCCGACCGGACCCCGCCACGGGTCGGTGGCGGAATGCGCCGCATGGGCCACGAACGCGCTGACAGGCGCCAGCGATGGCATGATGCGTGCCGGCGGAATGAGCGAAGCGATTAATAAACATACCCAAATCCAAAGATTCCCCATATCTGCCACATTTTTTCTGGATGCTCGTCTTCCTCTCCCGCTTCCCATATTTTCCAAGCTTTCCTGGAAATCGGCAATTATTCGTGCCTGTGCTATTGTTTCCCTCCTGAAACGGAAGTGAGACGTAAGACTCGGGTTCGGGGAACTCGGGTTGGCCCGACCGGGCCGTCAGGAAAATGACGAGACCCAGTCTGAAACTTGACGCGACATTTCGCTGCAAACTTCCCACGAAAACTGGACCGTCAAAACCCAGGACGGGCTCGTCAAAGAGCGTCGGCAAGCCCGAGTTCCGGCGAACTCGAGTCTCACGCTTTCCAGAAACAGAGGAGCAGCACGAAGGGGGGGGCAGGCGTCTGCGCATGGCTGGCGCCCCCCCCCGATGGAGGGGCAACGTGAGTTCGAGGGGGGCAAGTCTCGAGGTTCGAGGTTCCTGGACGCGTTCGTCGGTTCTCGGCGGCTGTCCAGCCTGATGTCGGGCGTGTCCCCCCACAGGGGGATTTTCGACGAAAAATCAAAAATACCCCAAAAATCATCAAAAAGCACTCCAAAAATAGTCCGGGGGCTATTTGTGGAGTATTCTTTGTTACCTTTCTGGGGTATGTTTGCAGTATTTTTGTATTTTTCGTCGAACAATCCCTCTGTAGGGAACAACGCCCGACGGAATTCCAGAATCGGAATCGTGAAGCCTTTCAGCGGCTGCGGCTCGCCGAGAGCCTTCCGGGGGGGGGGCCAGAGCGTGCAGGACGGCCGCCGGGGAGCGGAGCTACGTGCCCACTGGCCGAGTTGTCCCGGAAACCCAGGGTTACGTCGGGCCTGTCCCCCTACAGGGGGATTTTGGACGAAAATTGAAAAATAGTCAAAAATACCCTAAACATACTCAAAAATGGTATAAAAATCGTCCCCT